GGGATCAGATCGGGCGCAATTCCTATACTGTGTCTCCAATGTTGTTCCCTGTAGGGCTGTTGTGTCTCATAGTGGGCTGGCCATATGGTCTTCTCTGTGGATTGGCTGCACTGAACGGGAATATCGTCCTCAAGGCTTGGTGCGCCAGAATATGCTCCACTCTCTCTTCCTCCCCCTTCATTTGCTCCCATATGCTCTGATCAGAGATGTCCCTCTCCCTGAGCTGCGGCTTTAGTGAGGTCCTCTGAAATAAATTCTTCTGGGGGGAGGAGCACCTGCCCATGTAGTTGGGATTGGCAAGCCAGGATATTTTTAATCACCTGATCATATACCTGTGAAAGTTGGACCATGACTAAGGAAGATCACAGGAGAAGGGCTGCATTTGAATTATGGTGCTGGAGCAGAATATTGAAAGTACCACGGATTTCCAGAAGAACGGACAAATAAATCTGTCTTGGAAGAAGTACAACCGGAGTACTTCTTAGAACTTCTTAGAACTATTCTAGGATGACGAAACTTGATTGCAAGCAGGATAGACCCTGGAAAAGCACATCATGCTTGGTAAGGTAGAGGCTAAGTGAAAAAGAGGAGGAGGACTCTCAATGAAATTAATTGACGCAGTGGCTGCAATGGTGAGGTCAAACCTAGCAACAGGTCTGAGGATGGAGCAGGACCAGGCAGTGTTTCGGTCTACCGTGCACACGGTCTTTCTGAGTTGGAAGTGAGTGGGCAGCACCTAACAATAGAAACAAGCTGGGAGTGGAGGCCCTCAATACATGAAATTCCTTAAGAATATCATTTGGAGCGATGGATCAGCGAATTCAAACACTACTAGCTTCTTCCCTAAGGGGGCAGAAGTACGGAGCCCAGAGGAACGGACTCACTCTGTAAGGTAGGTGTTTCGTACATAAGCTCTCTCACTGCCATCAAGTCTGTGCTGACTCATAGCAAGCCCCCTGTGGGCTTCCGAGACTGTAACCCTTTGTGGGAGTAGAAAGCCCAGTCTTTCTCTCGAGGAGCTGCTGGTCGTTTGGGAACTGCCAACCAGGAGGGTCGATCCCAGTCCCCATGTAACCACGACCCAACCCAGGGCACATCTTGAAGCCTCACAGCTGAACATGGTCGTCATGGCAGTTGCTCTGGACCAGCTTCTGTCATCCATTTGGGGCTCACAACAATGCATATCCCTGGAGGGTCCATTCCTGCAGAAAATTGTATTCAAAGCAAAACCGTCCAAAGGGAAAATAAATCACACGTCATTAATATTTTTATTTCAATTTTTAAAGATCTCTAGAATTGTTGCTACTGGAAAATTATTTGGTCATACCACCCACCAAAAATCCAAAAGTGAATTTTATCTTTCTCTTCTACTCTCACCCTCAAAATCTCCTACTCAGAAAAGGCTTCTTCATCTCTCACCCGGATTCATCTTCTAAGTAAAAGCTGCCCTCTAACTAGAAACCTTCGGACAAAGTCTGTGAGTGGTGCAGATGGCTCAGAGTTCAACTGCTAAACAAAAGGTTCAAACTCTCCAGAGGCACATCAGAAGAAACGGTTGGTGACCTGCTTCCAAAAGATGATTTTCCGACTTAAAAACCCTCTGGAGCACAAGCCTGCTTGTACTCATGGGCTCGCTGGGTGCACTCATCAACGCCACGGCAAAGGGTTTGTTTCTGAAACCCCGGGTTGAAAAGTAGTCACACGATCCTTTTCTTCCTAATGGCGAGCTAGCATTTATCGTGGGTTAACCGCAGAGCCTTCTAATTTGTCTTATTTGTTCGGGGCAAGATAGCTGACAACAGGAAGACTGGTTTGAGTCTTTAACTCATTCTGTGTTTTGTTTAGCGGAGGGCCCTGTGGAGACCACCGAGTACAACTGCCTGGGTTGTATGCACCCCTTGATGGCCAATAGCCCCGACCTGGAGCCTGTTCTGAAGCATGCCATCCAGCATTTTAACAACAATACGGAGCACCCCTACCTCTTTGCGCTTCACAAAGTAAAGGGAGCCGAAAGACAGGTTTGTACTTTGATCATTTTTTTCAAATGGATTGTTCACATTTGTTACATCTTTATGTTTAGGGCCTCATTAACGACACCGAAGCGTTCTCCGAAGGAGCATGTAGCAGTAGACTACGGGTGGTGACAAGCTCTGTGGTGTATTTATTTTGTACGATTGGCGTAGATGGCGGGGGCATCCTTTTCATCAAGGTGGCTGGGATCCTGAAATAGGTAAAGGTCCAAAATGGTTAACCACACCACTTGCTCGGAGGTCTATTCTGAATGAACGAGGAGTGAGCATGGCATGTCTTCCCAGAGTCAATGAAATGGAAAGTCCCCCCGGCTTTAAGATTTTAAGAAAATCATATCCTTCCCTACCTGTGCTAAATCAATCATAACCCCCAAATGTTAACATATCTCTATAAAAGTGTGCAAGCCTGGCTGGGTAGCCTCTCGTTGTTCATGTCTCTGTCTGTTGTGGAACCACCACACATCTGTAGTCTGTGATGGATGTGGTGGCTGTGTGATGCTGAAAGGTGTCCCACTGGCATTTCAAGTACCAGCAGGCTCACTCAGGGATTGAATTGTGTCCCCTAAAAATATGGGTCAGGTTGACTGGGCCTGGATTCTCAGTGGGTTGGCAATTATAATGACATAATTACAGCACCACCACACCACCCCCATGATGTGACCTAATGTACTCAGCCGACGAGATGCAATGCCCTTACACAGCCCCGATAGGAGGTCATGGGTGTTTCCCTGGAGTGTGGGCTGCATCCATTTGTTACAAAAGATCAAAGCAGAGAAAAGCAGGAGTCGATGAAGGACCAACTACCAAGAAAGAAGAGCCAGGAGAAAATGCCCTCTTTCGACCCAGGGTGCCCACGTTGAAACCCTTCTAGACCCGGGGAAGATGACTACCAAGACATCAGTCTGCAAGGGATGCTGGGACCACAGATGTTGAAAGGAAACAAGAATGGATACCATAGGGTGAATGCACTGAATGCTAAGTTCGAGCCTCCTGAACTCTAAGAGAATACATTGAATTTGTTAAAGCATCCACTTGTGGTATTTCTCTTATAGCAGCACTAGACAAAGAAGACAGTCACATATGAGCAGTGCTTCCCAACTAACACAGACTAGGAAGACGGGTTTGGCATTCTACTTCTGAAAACATTGGCCAGTGGATATTTCATGAATAGTGCCAGAAGGGGAGCCCCCTCAAGTTAGAAGGCATTAAAAATACACCTGGGGAAAACGTGCCTCCTTAAAGCAGAGTCACTCTTAATGAGGTGAATGGCGTAATTTGCTTCATTTGCTGATGTGGCCTGACCCCAAATGAAAAGAAACGGTGATAAATATCCATGAATAAACAGAATGTGAAAGATGCAAAGTAAGAATCTAGGACAATTGAAAGTGATCGAAATGGAAATGGAATGCATAAAGATCTGGGTCCTAGATATCATTGGACTGAAATGGACTGGGATTGGCCAGTTTTCATCAGACAAGCATGTGGTCTACTATGCTGAGACTCCAGAAAAGGCATTGCCTGCCCCCTTTAACAGAGCCTTTCAAGGTCTGCTCTGAAGTGCCATGCTGTCAGTGACTGTGTGCTAGCCGTATACCTATCAGGAAGAACACGTCGAGCTCTTCTTTCTTGGTGATACTAAGCTCCCTCTTATTTCTGTTCCCTTTTCAAATCTCTTTTATATTTTAAAAGAAATTGACTGAAGATCCAACCTAACCCTGCATCATTAGCATAGCTGCCTCTATTACTCTCTCATTAACATCATAGAACTTAGAATTTAAAATCCACAGGATCATCACATTAGATCACAAAGTAGAGGATAATTATATAATGCCAATCCCCTAGCCAAGTTGACACGTATTTGGGGGTCATCCAGTTCAATTCATAGCACTTGGATTCACAATCAACACGCATGGAAGTACCCATCAAACATCAAGTGACATATTGCACTGGGCAAATCTGCTGCAAAAGGCCTCTTGAAAGTGTTACAAAGCAAAGACGTCCCTTTAAGGACGAAGGCGCTCCTAACCAAAGGCTCTACAACAGTGGTTCTCAACCTTTCCAATGCCACGACCCTTTCATACACCTCCTCATGTGGTGGTGACCCCCAACCATAAAGTTATTTTCGTTGCTACTTCCTAACTGTAATTTTGCTACTGTTATGAATCATCATGTAAATATCTGATATGCAGGATATATTTTCATTGTTACAAATCGAACATCATTAAAGCATAGTAATTCACAAAAATAATATGTAATTATATATTGTGAAATATTTATTTCTAATGACAAATACATGAAATTTTGTCTTGAAGCATGGTGTAGCATGGGTAACAGTCTTAATATAACAACAGTAAACTACATTGCTACATTTTGCCACAGTACGTGTAAAAAGCGGACTTCAGTGCGAAGGTTGAGATAGCTTCTTTCTCATGAGATCAGCACATCTGCATGTGGGTGGACCCCCCTGGAGACGGAGAGAGCAGTGGTGTCTCAGTTCCTAAGACCATCGGAAATAATGTGCTTTCCAGTAGTCTTAGGTGACCCCTGTGAAAGGGTCCTTCGACTCCCATCCAAGAGTCCTTCGTCTGGCTGCTCCACAGATCATTATGAGTCAGAATCAACTAAATAGCCGTGAGTTCTTTTGGGAACCACAGCCATAGTGTTTGTAATTGCTTCATCTGCATGTGAGAACCGACCAGTGAGTAAGGAAGACCAGACAGGAACTGATGCCTTTGAATTGTGGTGTTATTAAAAAATAGCAAATGTACCACGGGCTGCCAGTACACATCTGTCTTGGAAAAAGTAAGGCCAGAATGCTTCGTGCAAGTGAGGATGACAAGCTCTCATGTCCTTTGGACCTGTTATCAGAAGGGATCTGTCCTGGAGCAGGGCATCATGCTCAGTAAAGAAGAGGGCCAACCATAAAGACGGGGCCCTCAGTAAGACGGACAGGCACAGTGACCGCACAATGGACTTCAACATGACGGTGACTGTGAAAACAGTACAGGACTGGCAGTGTTCCATTCTGTTGTACATAGAGGTGCTCTCAAGAGGAACTAACTCAATGGCACCCAGTGACAACAACAAGAATATTGTCATCAAGCAAGGCACCCCTGGGTGGTGCAAATAGTTAAGCACTAAACTACTAACGAATTCATACCAACGGTTGGCAGGCCACGCCCGTCCAGGCATGCCTTAGAAGACAGGCCTAACAATCTGCTTCTGAAAGGTCAGTTTTTAAAACCCCATCTGTCCAATGAGAATATCATTAGACAAAAAACATAAATACCTCTGAACCCGGTCTTTCGCTGGCTCCGTTCCCTGAGTCCTCATTGACAGCTGAGTCTGTTGTATTTCAGCCTCTAAGTCTGAGTGGTTCACTTTGGTGAGTAACATTCTCTGCATTTCATCAACCTTCCAACTTACTCATTCAAGATGCATGTTCTACTCTGTTATATCCATTCATTGCCATCAGGATGGGCCCAGTCCAGGATAAAGAGAAAGAAATCTCCCTCCCTGCATTTGGAAACCCAAGAACCTACCATAAAGGGCATTCCAACTCCAGAGTGTTCTTAATCCATCTGGAGAGCGATATTAATATTTCACAGAACGCTATAGAACAGAGGCACTGTGCAGTCTAAAGGATGAGTTGGTAGGTTTCACTTAAAGAAGTACAATAACTCCTCTATGTCACTCTTTTCATTTCAGGTATGCAGTGTGTGTGTGTGTGTGTGTGTGTGTGTGTGTGTGTGTGTGTGTAAGGTTGTAAGAGTCTCAAAGTGCTCAAAATGCATTTAGTATCGACTTTTGCCTTTAACAACCCTATAGGACACTGTAGAATTGTCCTCGTGGGTTTCCAAGATTGAAATATTTGCCTATCAGAGAGGTTGATAGTTAGCAGCCCAACTCAAAACCCACTATGCTACCAGGGGTCCTAATAATATTTATTGATCACTTATGCTATGACAGGCAGTGTCCTAAGCTCATCATAACATGGTTGTTTATTTCCCTGTGAGTTCTGTTTAAAGTCTCTTTAAATAGCAATCCAAATATTGTTTCAGGTGGTGGCTGGATGGAACTTTGAAATCACCTACTCCATTGTGCAAACAAATTGTTCCAAGGAGAAATTTCTATTCTTAACTCCTGAGTGCAAATCCCTTTTGAATGGAGTAAGTATACAAAACTCTGATGACTAAATGCCTAGCATTTTGCTTAGGAGTGGGAACTATCAAGCTGTGTGGGAAGACCCCATCACTAAAATCTTAGATGGCATTCAGCAATTCATACGCACATTCACTTGCAAGCCCTGAAGTTCACATGACTGTTCAGGCCATCTTGTTGGCCCACTAAAGGATCTGCACACCGTACAATGCTAAGTATTTACATAGTAGAGCCAAGGACTGGGAATCCCCTGGGTGGTGCCAACAGTTCATGGGCTCTGCACTGACCAAAAGGTTGGAGCCTTGAACCCACCAAAGATGGCTTGGAAGAAAAGCCTGGCCATTGACTCCCCCAGATCAACCATTGGTCATCCGGCGGAGCACAGTTCTCCTCTGTAACACATAGGTTCACCCCGTGTCCGTGTAGACTGGACAGGAATAGCCCGAGACGAAAGGATGAACTAGTCCTGTGACTGTTACGTCTTCTCCCTTCCCCTCTTCATGTGCTAAATGTCCTCCTGGGGCTCAAGCTGTAAGCCCACTGCCATGGAGTCTATGCTGACTCACTGTCCCGACAGGACAAAGTGGAAGAGCCCGGAAGCTGATTGTCGCATCTCTCTCCAGTGGAACAGCTGGAGGGTGTGCACCACTGGCCTTGCACTTAGCTGCCCAGTGCTTAACCACCGCATCACCGGGTTCCTTTCTCCCTTAGCTCTTTGCTTCCAACTTTTCTCTGCTAAGGCATGAATCTTCCCCACGAATATTTACATTTTAGCAAAAGAGTGTGCTTTAACTACTGCAAAGCCCATTCGTCTAGAAATTCTGCTTCTAAAATTCTATTTCAAGGGGCAGGGTGGTGGTAGAGAATCCATTTAGCAAGATGTTAATTTCAGTGTTATTCGTTTAGTTTTATATTTCTAATGTGTGATTTTCTTTGTGTATATCCAGAGCATTTATCACTAAAGTTATTCCTCGATTGGTATTTTGTTTTGGTTATTGCTATTAAATTTCTTTGTTTCACTTTCTGTTTTATTTTTTTTAATGTTACTACTGTTAAATAAAAACCTATCATTTTTATAGACTTTCCTTATATTTAGCAACAATAGTGAACCTGGTCAACTCTTACAGCTTTCTATTGCTTACCTTCACTTTCTAGGTATATAATAATATCTCATGCAAATAATATTTTAGCCATGATTTTCCAATGCTTGCTTTTTTCATTATGTGATTCATTTAGTCGACTCAAACTTCCAGGAGTATTTTTTGAAATAACAGTGATCGTTGGCATTCATGTTTTATTCCAAATTTGACTGAGGGAGTCCCTAGAATTTATTAGTATATGTCATAGTTGCTGTGGGTTCCCAAGAAGCATTTTTCTGTCTTGTTAAGGAAGCCGAGTTGCTTTCTTGCTCCTTAAAGACTTGGCTTTCTTGTCGCTGTTGTTTTAGTAAGGAATGTACTGAATTTGGCAAGCACTTTCAGATCGCGCTATTGAACTACCGGATGATCATTTCATTCATATGCTGTTTCAATAACTTTGCTAATGTAAACTTTAGATTCTGAGATTAAGTCCTACTTGTTAAATATTGATTATTCTTTTTAAATGCATTTGGATTCTATCCCTGGGGTATTTAGGAACTCTACATCTATAAATAAAAGTAGTCTACAATTTTCTGAATTTTCTGAAAAATATTCTCTGATTTTGGCACCAGATTCTAATTTTATCCAATGAGTTCATTGCATGCCACTATTTTCTATATTAAGAAATAATTTATATGAAATGATGTTACTTTAATTTTAATAATGATTTATCTATGTATATCAGAAAGTGAATCAATGCAGACATGGGTTAAATTTTAACATCTCATCATTTGTTTTCCCTTTTGACTGAGTTTTAATTTGTTCCGTTTTTATTAGTTCCTGCTTTTTGGGGGATTGAAGTTTTTCTGTATTTTACTTAGTTATTATTGTTGGTGGGGAAGTTGTATGGATTTCTTTCTATGAGACCCAAAATAGGTAAATGTATAGAGACAGTAACTAGACAACTAGTTTCTAGGGTCAGGGAAGTTTGGGGGGAAATCGTGACCTAGTAGCAATGCGAACAAAAATGAAAAAAGTGTTCTGAAATTGATTGTGGTAATGATTGCACATTTAAAAAAAGTATACTCAAACTACTGAGTTATGTGGTGCATTAATTATGTCAATCAAACTTCTAATATTTATCTGCAAAACGGTTAAGCTGTTTTATGGTTTGTTGTATGAGGTAAAAAGTGAGATGGAAGTGAAGAGTAATGACAGCATTTTCGTTCCCTTCCTCAGTCCTCTGTCAATTCAAGTTTTGTTGTTGTTCCGTCTGTGCTGGTCATTTATAATTTTTCAGAAAAATAGCTTTTTGGGGGGTAATTAAAATTAGTGTACACCTTTTTATGATATTTTAAAATGTATACTTCTCTATAACCTTTGTTGTATTGCCTTATTGTGTATTTAATTTTTCCTTATCCCCAAAATTATCATTTAGATTTATTTACTAATGCTAGTGTTCTTGGTTTTCTAATTTTTCATTTTTCTTTCTTGTTTACTCATTGTTGATTTCCATAGTTCCCCCCCTAACTTATTGAAATAAGCCCCTGGGTTTTGTTTCGGGCTCTGGCTCGCATTGTGAAATATGAAAGCATATACCACCATGGATGGGCACTGATGCTACTGTGACAATATTTTGTGAACTTGTTATGTGTGCTGATTTTGTTTTACATTTTTCCCTTATTCGAGGAAAACCTCAACTGATTAGGGAATTATATTTACATTTTTGAAAGGGAGCCCTGGTGGGAGGGTGGTTACACTTTGGGCTGTGTTCTGCAAGGTCAGCAGCTCAAAACCCCCCGTTGCTCCACGGGAGAAAGATGAGGCTTTCTACCTATAAAGAGAGTCTCAGAAACCCACAGGGGCAGGTCTACCCTGTCCTACAGGGTCGCTATGAGTTAGAATTGACTCGATAGAATGAGTTTGGGTTATTTGGGGGAGTTTATATTGTGAAGAAGCCATGGTGGCACAGTGGGCAAGAATAGACTCTACAACAATGGGTTTGATTGCAATTAAAAAACCCTATTTACATACATCCTTATTATTAAAGCCTCCTCTGACCTTATTTATGTTTTATCCATTTGGCTGGTCTGATGTTTATAGTTGTTATATAAAGTTTCCCAATCAAAAATATTTCTACCTATTTCTCATCGTATATTTAATTTTTGCATATTTTGATTCCATGCCTTATAGACTGTACCTTTTAAAAATGAAGTTACAGTTTTACTGCTTTTATATATCATACCATTTTGTAACCTTAGATTTTACTTTATACAATAGTAATGGGACTCTAGTTTCTTTTTATGGTTTATATTTAGTTGATTCAAGTTTATCTTGTCTTCATAAGCTTCTTTTAAAAACTTTTATTGTAAAATGTTTCCTGGTGCTATAATAAATTCCTCACTTTTAATTTAGTTCTGAAAATCTTTGTCTTTCTGTAAGGCAATTTTACCCATTTATTTATATGGCAATTATTTCCATTCTAAGTATTGTCGTTTTATTTTATGCCTTCCTGGGTGTTAGTGTGTGTGTTCTGTTTGTTTTATTGTTATTGATGTTATTATCCAATTGCTCTTATTTGCAATTAGAATATGTTTCTTTTCTTTTTTCCTATGTAATGTTTGAAAAGTGAATATCTTACTTTTAATTTAACTAGTGTCTACTTTTAAGGTTTTCTAAAACATTTTAAAATTATGTTTGTATTTTCAAACATTAGGCTATGGCTGAATGTAGAGATTTGGCATACATGGATCCTCAGCTAAGAATTTCTTCCTTGACACAGAACTGTCAACTGTATCCAGGTAGGGGTTAACCCATGCTGGGGCTTTGATGAGGGGAGGTTGGTCCCAGACAAGTGGCTCTGTCGTTCCCTCTGAATTGCCTTTCGCCACCCAAGTATGGCACAGCCCTTACAGGGAACATGCCCACCCAACGTGCTCTGCCAATGACCGGAAGGGAATACGTTGGCAGAAGGGAAAATGGGCCAAGCTGGCCTCTGCGATGAAGCCAGATGGCCATCTGTGGTAATAAAACGTGCGTGGTCAAGTGGCATAAGTTGAGAGACCTGTATGTCATTTTTACCCACTCAGAATAAAACCTTTTCTTTTTTTTCCCCTCAGAATAAAACCTTTTCTGCTAGAGTTTTGCTTATTTTTTTTCTACATGTCACACAACAGAGGGTGGGAAAGATATGTGTGAGTTGATGGTCAAGTCCGTTTTTCTTGTAACGAGAGCTGGCTTCGCTCCTACTTGGAAGACAGCTGTGTCCGTTGCAACAAAGGACTACTCCTGACCCTAGCTGTCCATCGCAGCCACTGAACTCAGAATGTTCCCTCTGGGAGTCAAGCCTTTAAGTGAAAGATTGTCTTTACAGAGTTTCCACCACCACCGCCGCCAAAAAACGCAAACACTCAGAACGACAGCGTGTCGGCGTCACTGACAGCTTCCAGTTGGATACCTTGTCCTGAACACCTTGGACTTGGGAGGAGAGGGACATGGAAGCAGGACAGAGAAGGACTTCTCTCACTCTCACTCGTCCTAGGACTGCCACTTCGCCCTCGCACACCATGGAAACCGTGGCCGTAGGAGAGAGGCGCTGGGCTAGTCTGCTCTTCCAGTGTACATGCTGACTTAAATCTGATCTTTTTAGGAGAAGAAGTTGTGCCGCCACCTACCAGGATTTGCGCTGGCTGCCCCATAGAGATAGCTGCCAACACCCTGGAGCTGCAGGAGGCTTTAAATCATTCCATCACAAAGCTCAATGCGCAGCATAACAAAACGAACTATTTCAAGATTGAGAGTGTGAAAAAGGCAACAGTACAGGTTTGTAAATTAGACCACAAAATGCAATCTTCTTTTTTTTTTTCTCTTAAATCATGTTATTGGGGGCTCTTACAACTGTTACCCATCCCCTTCCTCCTCCGCCGCCACCTTCGTGTGATCGTGTGATCGCATTGAGGGAATGAAATGAGAAGCGACATCAGACCCATCGCATACAACCTGGAATTTTTGTTGTCAAACATTTCTACCTTATCAGCAGGATGGGCCGCCGTGCTAACTCATTGGAGGCCTAGTGCACTCAGCATGGGTGGATAGAAAGATAGCTAGATGATCATTAGAAAGCGTGAAGTAGAGCACTGCCATCGAGCCGATCCCAAGTGTCAAAAAATGTGGAGAGTGTAACATCAAAATTCCAAAATCCCTCCTAAGAATCCTTAGAGGAACGAGATACTGTAGCTTGTGCACAAAGGTATCGGTGCCTCCCGTGGACTCCCCCTTGGTGCTCCTTCCAGGTGGTGGCGGGGAAGAAGTACTCCGTGGTGTTCGTGGCCAGGGAAACTGAGTGCTCCAAAGATGGTAACGAAGAACTGATGCACACCTGTGAGACCAGGGCAGCTGGAGTGAGTACCCTATCCCTGAGGAAGCTAGTTTACAGAAGCATCTGTTTAGCTGTCATATTAATCATCCTGTTTTCTCGGCTGGCTTTTGTTTCCGTGGCCAGGACGTTCTAGAATGCAATGCCTCCATCTATGTGATCCCGTGGGAGCACAAAGTGTACCCGACTGTCAACTGCCGATCCCTGATCAAGGTATGTTTTGGATTACCATCTGCTGTGGGTTGACGGTGCTCTTTCTGAAAAGTCATTATGTTGATGTGGAAAATGAACTTCTTGTGACAGGAGTTGGGGACAACAATCTCTTAAAGTGTTCTGTGCTGGCTTCTCTTTTCTACGTTCAAAAGACAGCGGCAGCCTTCCTAAGTGGTCCTCCTGTCATACCTGGTCCAGGTTCCCGCAGGCTCTCACTGTGGGAGGTGTAGCCCTTCTTCGGGGCACTAATATGGGAGGTACCTTCTGCACCCCAACCAGGAGCTTGGGGGAAATGCAGGCTCTCGGACACAAACTCCAGCCCACCTCCTGCCACACTGACCGGTTGATGGAGTCGCAACCGTGGTGTGTCAGAGTACAACTGGGCTCCCCAGCACCTCAATGGTGGGTTTTTCAGAACGAGATTCACAGGCCTTTCCTCCAAAATGCCCTGGTGGGGGGACGGGACTAGAACCTCTAACCTGTCAGCTGGCAGAGGAACAAGTGTCCACCACCCAGCGACAATTTTACCACCTCTACTTAACCAGAATCCACTTTTCAATAACCCCCCTGATGATTCCTATATGCACTTTCACACTGTAAAAGCATTAGCTGACTTTGTTTTAAGTCTTACAAGAACCTGTGAGGTTAAGGAATCCCCTCTCCTTTGTCAAGGGTGAGACAACTTGACAGGCTAAAAATTAGACTCTTAAGCTTCCAAGAAGGAGCTCTGATGGTACATTGGACTACTGACCGCAAGGTTGGTGGTTCAAAACAACCAGCCGTACCCCCACACCCCGCAAGGGAAAAAGATGAGACTGTCTGCTCCCTGGAAGATGTCCAGCCTCGCTCCTGGGGAGAACGATGAGAATACATAAAGGTGTACAAACTTGAACCCTACCCAAAGTCACTGTGAGTTGGAGTCCGCTCAAGACGGGAGGTGGTGGGGGATCCCAGAATGATCAATAGTATTATACTCAGGCCATGTGTAGAGTCAATATTTTTTAGTCCTTTGAGATGACTGCTATCATTATTTTCTATTTGCATATGATTAAAGTGACCCGCAAGTAATTTGCCCAGGTTTACACAGCCAATATTAGCAACGGTGCACAATTCAAATCTAGGTCAAATTAGATCCCACCTTCTGTACCATAGGCTGATAATTAGCAGTCTGGCCAATTGGATTCCTAAGCCGGGGCTTTTGTGACCACTGGGCACAGCTCTAAGCATCCCGTTCTCACAGGTAGGAATAAGCCACAGCTCCACATGTTTTAATGCAAGTTGCTTCTTCTCCGTTTTCCTCACTGAGGTTTGCGCCATGTGTAGAGGTATATACTTGTAGAGCCCACCATCAACAGTCTACAAAGGCTGTAAATAGATCTATTTTAAGCTAGTGCACATGTGTTCTAATGTGTTTAAGCCGAACTCAGTGATTGTGGCTATAGGTTCTGTGTGGTTTGCAAAGTTTCTTAGGCCCTTTTAAGTTAAAAGCAGTAATTATGCTAACAGAAATATGTCAGTTAATAAATAGTGTGCAACGGACTTGCAAAATCAGAGGTTGCTAAACCTTCAGAGGGTACCCTAGAGATGTTGTAGTTCAACCACACGGTTGTTTCCAGATGAAGGAAAAAAATTCTCTGGGTTGCTTCAGAGTGTTATTAAAAACAATAAACCGTGTCTGAAAAGCTAAAAATGAATGAAAAGAGGAAAGACCATTGTTTATTTTCATCCTTTCTGGAATATTAATATAATATTGAAATCTGGTAGACACCTGCCCATTACAAATCACGATAGCGTTTCCAGGTCTCAGCCCCTCCCTCTTCACTGGCAGTGTGGTTGTCACTGTAATGCCTCTTAATATTTCCTGTTAGGACTCATTGAGGAAAAGGCCTCCAGGTTTTTCACCTTTCCGATCAGGATCAGCGATAGAAGCGGAAACGGGAGAAGTGACAACTGTAAGTCCACCCCACACTTCCATGGCACCCGTACAAGATGAAGAGCAGGACCCAGGAAGAGAACAAGGACCCACTCACGGGCATGACTGGGGCCATGACAAGCAAATAGAACATGGCACTGCCCATGGCCGTAAACATGAGCATGACCAAGGCCATGGGCACCAAAGAGGACATGGCTTTGGTCATGGACATCAACGAGAACTTGACTCTGATCTTAACCACCCAAGGAAACATGGCCTTGGCCATGCAAAGGGACGTGGCCCAGCCCATGGACGTAAACATGAGCATGGCCATGGTCATGGAAAACATAAAAATAAAGACAAAAACAATGGAAAGCACAATGGTTGGCGAACAGAGCCTTTGGCAAGCATTTCTGAAGATAGCACTACATCTTCTGCACAGACACAAGAGAAGACAGAAAGGCCAACACCCATCCCTTCCCTAGCCCAGCCAAGTGTAGCGGTTACCTTTTCTGGCTTTCAGGATTCAGATCTCTTGGCAGCTGTCACGCCTAGTACACCACCACCTCCCACAGATGACGAGGACGACTGGATCCCTGACATCCAGACAGATCCAAATAGCCTTTCATTTAACCTGGTATCTGATTTTCCAGAAACAATGTCCCCCAACTGTCCTGGACGCCCCTGGAAGCCAGTTCACAGGACGAATCCAACAGTGGAAGTGAAAGAATCTCATGATTTTGATCTTTTGGATGCTGTTAACTAATTTATGCAGCCATGAGTATTCCCTTAACACGTCATCACCCCTTCTCCCCACTGTCCAAACACAAATATCCTGTTGGGAGACACCCAAACCCCTAAAAGTTCACCACAGCCCAGAGGGAAGGGGTGAGCTGCCCAGCTGGACTGCTGTCGACCTCTGGGGAAGACATAAAATGGTGTGCAGAATCCGAAATCCCTTCTGAGTCGCCCTGACAAGTTTTCTAAGCTAGCATAGAAAACAGATGAACTCATTTGCCTTGTGGCCTACTGCTTTGTGTTTTTCTGATAATCAACACGTACCTTAACTGCCATATGAACGATTTTTATAGGTTCTTGACAGTCTGAGTAAGCGGTTGATGGCACCTGGTTCCTGAACGTGTGTGAACATAAGGGGAGCCAAGAGCCTGAAGGTCGGGCTGCTTAATGGAAGGGATGGGGGCAGCATAAACTCCTCAGAAATCAAAGATGGATCATCAGGAAGAGAGACAGAGGAGGGGAGGAAAGACTCAGGGACATAAATCAATTAACTTTCTGTTTCCCAAATGTGCTAGTGGTATCGCAGAGTTACTCCCCTATTCTGCTAGTCCCTTGTCTGGGTCTTTACTGAGGTGACCAGACGTCCCGCTTTTGGCAGGACAGCCCCGATTTTTGGCGTTTTAAAAAAGTCCCGCGTTTTGGAAAGAATGCACGACAAACTAGGGAACGGTCTATTTGGTCCATATAGACCAAATTTTTAATCAAGAACACACACCCCCCCACCCCCCACCCACCCCCAACCCCCCGCGATCAATGGTGTCCCGCTTTAAATCTGGTCACCTTAGGCCTTTACCCCAAATCAGTAAGTTCTGTGCGCTTATGAATCACTCTTTGCCCGAGGACTTCCTAATAGAAATCATGTTTATTGTTCCCAAGGCCACGGTAAATAACCCATGAATCCCAGAAGCACTGAGGTTATGGATGGAGGTGGAAAACAGAGGCAGTAGTATAAAATTGGCCAAGGAAACTTTTAAAAGAATCTCGACAAGATAGTATTGTGGGAGGGGATACAAACTGTATTCAGAAATTTTGTAAGAAAAGTCCTCCCTCCCGCCCTGAAGAAGATGGCCTTTTGCAGATGAGAATCGTCTGATTGCTTTCCGTGGTGTTGTGCTACGAGAGAGGCCTCCGCTCTAGAGCCCTGGCTGTCCTTGGGCCTGGAGAAATAAGACGTGGGTTTCAATAGCTGCATTTGCCTTTGGATGTGTGTGCCACTGCTCCTTCAATTTATTTGAAGGCTCCGTGTGTTTTTATTTCACTTCAAACATTATCTGTACTTTTAAATAAAGAGCCAGCCATAACAGGAAAAAGCCTCTCTTGCCTCATCAACTGGGAGCTTCACAGTCTTTATTGAATGACAATAACAGATTAATGGAGTTTTACTGTACTTACAGAGGCAACTAACGCCTTGCGAGTACAAGGGCCGGCCCCCAAAGGCAGGGGCAGAGGCAACATCTCAGTGAGGTCTCTTGACCAGTGGCAGAAGCTTCCCGCCTGGCACCTCCAGCCCAGCAACCTGTGTTGGCAGCCCCGAGGGAAGGACAAGAAGATGGGATTGAATTTAGAGAAGAATTGCTAACTTTTCTTTCTGCTCCTGAATGAAATAAAGTTCCCTTTCGGTATTCTCACTCCTGGTTAATTGACAGTGGTCAGTCACCTCCTCCCAGCCATGGCCACCCTGCAGCAAATCTGAGCTGCTCAGAGAGCGGGACAGGGTTCCTAGTTCAAGTCTGGAGTCCTCTCTGAGCAAGACAAGAATCCCAGGGTCTTGCCGACCAGGTATGCCTAAATCAAGGGATACCCATTGTCCTTGAGTCCATGTTGACCTATGCAAACCCCATGTGTTACAGAGTAGAGCTATTTTCATAGAGTTCCCTTGACTATAGTCTTTTTTTTAAATCATTTTATTTGGGGCTCATACAACTCTTATCACAATCCATTCCTTGTATCAAGCACATTTGTACATTTGTTGCCATCATCATTCTCAAACCATTTGCTTTCTACTTGAGCCCCTGGTATCAGCTCATTTTCCCCCTCCCTCCCCATTCCCCCTTCCCTCATGAACCCTTGATAATTTATTATTATTTTGTCATATCTTACACTGTCCGATGTCTCCCTTCACCCACTTCACTGTTGTCCATTCCCCAGGGAGGGGAGAGGGTTATATGTAGATCCTTATAATTGGTTCCCCCTTTCTACCCTCCCCTCCCAGTATCGCCACTCACACCACTGGTCCTGAAGGGATCATTCTCCCTGGATTCCCTGTGTTTCCAGTTCTGATCTGTACCAGTGTACATCCTCCGGTTTAGCCGGATTTGTAAGATAGAATTGGGATCATGATAGTGGGGGGAAGAAGCATTTAGGAACTAGAGGAAAGTTGTATGTTTCATGGTTGCTACACAGCACCCTGACTGGTTCATCTCCTCCCCGCCACCCTTCTGTAAGGGGATGTCCAGTTGCCTACAGATGGGTCTTGGGTCCCCAATCTGCACTGCCCCTCATTCACAATGATTTGATTTTTTTGTTCTTTGATGCCTGATACCTGATCCCTTTGACACCTCGTGATCACACAGGTTGGTGTGCTTCTTCCATATGGGCTTTGTTACTTCTGAGCTAGATGGCCGCTCGTTTAGCTTCAACCCTTTAAGGCTCCAAGTGCTATATCTTTTAATAGCCGGGCACCATCACCTTTCTTCACCACATTTGCTTATGCACCTGCTTTGTCTTCAGTGATCGTGTCGGGAAGGTGAGCATCATGGAATGCCAGTTTAATAGAACAAAGTACTCTTACATTGAGGGAGTACTTGAGTGGAGGCCCAATGTCCATCTGCTACCTTAATACTAAACCTATAAATAAATACACATAGATCTATTTCCCCATCCTCATATATAAATATATTTACATATGGACATGCCTTTATTTAGACCTCTATAAATGCCCTTTGACTCCTAGTCCCTTCCTGTCTTTCCTTTTACCTTCCTCCTGTCCCACCATCATTCTCAGCCTTCATTTGGGTTTCAGCAATTCCTCTTGGTTATATTACCCCTGATCAAGCCCTACCAGGCCTCTTACACCCTCCTCACCACCAATTTGGATGACTTGTTGTTCCTTTGTCCCTGGGTTTCCCCCCATCTTCCCCTCTCCCATGTTCCCCCTGAACTATTGGTCCCATTGTTTTCTCCTCCAGATTGTTCATCCAGCCTATCTTATTTAGACAGACCTCTGGAGATAATATCATGCACAAAAACAAGACAGCAAAACAAAGCAACAAAAGAAAACAAAACAACAGCAAAAAACCAATGACAAAAAATATATACAAGCCTGTAAATAGTTCAAGGTCTGTTTGTTGACCTTTAGGCGTGTTTTCTGGTTGAGTCTGATGGGGTGCCACACCTTGGTCCCCAAAATCTGTTTTTGGTACTCCCTCAGGACTTCCTTGCTCTGTTCCCCTTGCTGTTCTGTTGCACGCCCTTAGTGTTTTGCCTCAGTGTGGTGGGTTCAGATCGGGCACAATTCCCACAGTGTCTCCAGTGTTGTCCCCTGTAGGGCTATGGATCAGTGAGGGATGTCCTGTCTCGTAGTGGGGCCAGCCATATGGTCCTCTCTGTGCATTGGCTGCTCTGGCGGGGATATTGTCCTCAAGGGTTGGTGGGCCAGGCTGTGCTCCACTCTCTCTTCCTCCCCTTTGACTAAAGTCTTCATGGAAGCAGATCTCAGAACTTTCTCCCACAGCGCCACTTGGAGGGTACACAACCGTCGTTTCCAGGTGAGCAGGCTATCAAAGTAGCAGCTCATGCCATCCAAGGACCTTCTAATCAGAGTTTAAGAAACAAGCAGCAACAACAAAAGCAACAACTTTGAGTCAATTCCCACTCATAATGACTTTATAGGACAGAGTAGAACTACCCCTTCAGGAAGCAGGCCTGCCACCCTTGGGCTCACCACCAAGAGCTTAAGCACCGCACCACCAGTGCTTTTGTTACTCAGAGGCCTGCGGGCCATGTTTCTACCAGCAACCTGAGCACACTCTCTGTGGGCTGTGTCCTCATTGTTAGCCCAAAGCTATGAGTAATTTGCTTATTTTATGAATTTTTTTTATAACCAAGATAGGTTCCCTAAAAGAAAGAATCTATGTTCCTATGATGCCTACCAACTTCTTATCTCAAAAAAATAAGTAAATAATAGCATCAAAACAAAAGGGTTCAAAGAAAATTAGAAATGTTAGAGTTTTTAAAGTTCCTATAATAAAGACATTTTTGAACATCTGTTATAGTCATTTGCTGTGATAGGAAACACACAAACGCTTGTTCTGGAGACATGGGGAGTGTGTGGTAGAACCTTCCCACCACTCAGGGCCCCGTGATCATGTCCTTTTGCTGTGCAAACATTGTGGGTCTCTATGGTGTCACTAACCAGGGTCAGCAGGTACTGAACACCAGAGCTGGCCCTCAAGCTCAGCCCTTTTGAACTCCACCACACCAGGGGCTTTCATTATCCATGTTGCCATGGAAAAGCACACCCATCTCAGTTCTGATTGGCAATCCCCGAAGTCTGTATTAGGTATGTCATTGTGGCTGGAGGTGTTCTGAATACTGCTCAGGGTGGCCTATGCGCTGAGTCAAGGACCAGGCTTTGACTCATGACCGTGGGTTTTGCACTAGGTCCTAAAGAGAAATGAATTTTTTTAAACTGAAATCTTTTCCCTCAAAGAGCTTCCAACCACATTCGGAAGTGGAGACTAAAGCAGCGGTCCTCAAACTTTTTAAACGGGGCCAGTTCACTGTCCCTCAGACCGTTGGGGGGCTGGACTATAGTTTTTTAAAAAGCTATGAACAAATCCCTATGCACATTGCACATATCTTATTTTGAGGTAAAAAACAGGGAAAAACACCTGGCAGGCCGGATAAATGTCCACGGCGGGTCGCATGTGCCCCGCGGGCAGCAGTTTGAGGACCCCTGGATTAAAGCATACGGAAGAGAGAGAGGCTCTGAGCCATGAACATGTGCGGAGCACTGAGCCGACCTGCCCAGGACCAGCGGTTATTGAGCAGGTCTAGGGACTAACTCAGCAAAGCAAAATGATCCAAGTTGAGAGTCTAGATTGAAACAGGAAGTAGGCATCCCTGGTTGGTACAATCTGGGAAAGTGCCCGGCAGCTAGCTAAACGGTTGGCAGTTTGAATCCACCCAGAAGAAAAAGCTAGAGATCTACTTCCAAAATACCAGCCATTGAAAACGCTGTGGAGCACGGTTCTATCCTGACACATATGGGGTCCCTCCTTGAAAGCAAGTGGTTTGAGCAGTGGGGTGTCTTGTATAGTTCCCA